GGATTCTGTTATCTCCTCGCTTCCTCTGTTACATCGGTGTCCTGCACTGGGTTAGAGCAGTAATCACGCACAACAGAACACAAAGAGAGAAACAATGCCAGGGATAGTAACAGATGCCATAAACAAGGGCTTCAGTGACAGCTAAATATGTATCTATATCACTGGACTGTCACGACCGCCAGCCAGCAGAGATCAACCCACAAAAGAGCTAACCAGTGCCAGCAGCGGGTTGATTATAATCCATCAGCACACGCTCTACCGTGTGGCACACACGGTAGAGCGTGGCACACTATTTAAACCATCTAAACTCGCTTCTCGGTGCTCGGTATTGATTCCTCTCCTAGAGAGCTCCTACCTCTCTCTCGTGATACTTCCTTCAGCTTTTGAGCTACTGTACCCTTTGTTTTCGACTACGAATTCGCCTAACGTTTTGGATTGGACACCTGTTTCAGTATCTACATTCTCCTTCGTCTGCATAGGATCCTCACACCTCATCGCTTGGATTCGTTACGTGGACGGGGCTGGCGACAGTAAGCCAATAAACATGGCGACAGTAAGTAATAAGAAAACACATTAAAAAAGTTTTCCTTGAACTTGACTGTTACCCTTCAAACTTACAGTACATATGTATGAATATACTGCAAAAAAGACTTATGAAGTGCTTATGAAGTTTGCTGATTCACTGAAATAGCTGTGGAGCAATGAGAAATTTGAGCCTGAGCCACATACAGTACAGAGGGGACCGCAGTGGACACTAAGTAGCTCCCAAGAGTCATGTGCCATGCCCCATGCCTTTCCACATAAGAAAGCCATCGTGGACACAAACAGTGGTCACACTGAGCTTATCTAGTGTCCCCTGGTGTGTCCACTGTCGCTGTTTAGGAAAACACTTCACAATTGTTGCATCCGCATACTGTATACAGTATATGGATCAAACTGACATAACTTTATAAACATTCTATACAGGCACACACCTGTACCCACTATTGGTGCAACTGGGTAAGTCAGAAAGGTCTAACCACACAACAGAATTCTCCAGAACTTGCTGTGAAATATTTTGAGATCTACAGCAAAGAGGGCAAAAAGCAGGCCAGCTTGAACATCCTCAGTGTTTGGGGCTGGGGGTCTGCTGGGACCCCTTTCTACAAAACAAATCCACTTCCCATTCTGGGACAAGGGGGTGAGTAAAAAGGCATGTGCTCAGAAACATGTGAGGATGGAGGGGTGTGCAGGCAGTTACAGTTTTAGTTCAGTTATCAGAGAATGGCTCCATTGCACATCAGTTTGATCCATTTCTCTGTCCTCTCATTTCTCTTGTATGGAAACTAGCACCATGCGCTGGGTACAGTATTTCAAGCTTGTTACTTCATTTGAGTATGTTTTCACATACAGACATGTGAAGATACAATAAGAATTAAAAAACACACCCAGTGTGGATCAAACTGCTATGCAAAGGAAATCTAATTCCATCCCTTTATTTTAATTCAGACTCTCTATTCCACACAGAAAATGAATGACACACATTTGTTCATACAGGGCTACATTATCCATAATGCACCACGGAGAGGCATGACCTTTGTCCTTTCCTTGCCCCAGACAGAGATGTATGCATATGGGCACAGGTTAAAGGGGCAAGCCCTTTGGGGACCAAGTCTGGGAAAATTCATTAGTGAGGGCTATTAATAGGACAGTGGAGAGATAATGTATAGGGAGGGTATATTTTTCACACTGAGAGCACCCTCTTGTGAGGTGAGCTGGCAAAAGATAATGACCCCCCCCCCATTAAACTCCCTAAAAAATAAATTCCCAGCAAACCAGTAAACATCCAACTAGATGCAAACCCAACCACAGGCCGATGGGATTCAACTCCACCACTGGGGGGTTATTTTACAGTTGTCTTTCTTGAGTTGTTTTCTGTTCACATTGTCCTAAGTGTCAGTGGGCACTCTGTGCCATTTCTCTGCAAGCCAGCGTGGAGCTGAATGCCATGAGACTGTCTCTCCAGGGACTTTTCATCAAACACTGAGACTCCCCCCTCACACATTGACAAAAGTCCTTCCTGTTTGTGTGTCCCATCCTCTTCCTGTCTGTCTGTTATCCGTCTATCTTCATATGCAGGTCTGTCTGCCATCAGTACAAAGTGTTTGTACAGCTGGCACTATCACTCTGCCAGTAGTCAGTGTCTCCATCTACTGTATCAGTGCTGCTGTGTACCAGTAGTCTATTATTGCTGTGAACCAAGTCTATTATTGTGTCAGAGTGTCACGACATCAGTGTGTCAGTTTGTCTGGGTA